TGCCTTTTCTTCAGTAGTATTTTTGTTAGCAGCAGTAACAATAGTTATTAAAAGAAATTTCTAAAAATGTGTTAATGTTTTATGTTCAGTTTTAATTGAGATAAAATTTATAGAAATGACAATATTTCAGATATTAATGCTAGAAAATATTCCTTAATGAAAGTTATCAGTAAAGGTGTTAATGGGTCTCCTATTCAGCAGTTACTTTGGAAAAACAAAGCTTCGATCAGATGTTGTACAAACAGAAAGTGGTCCAATTATCGGAAAACGTTATAATATTAATCACAAGTTTGTGGATGCTTTTCTTGGAATACCATTTGCAAAACCGCCAGTTAATGAATTGCGTTTCAAAGTTTGTTTACTCGTTTTTTTTATGCCCTCCATAAGAGTATCTCACTAATGATATTACCGATAGTTTTAGTCCGGTTTTGAACCCCGTAGCAATTGTGCATAATTAGAACCAACAACAAAACTGTCTTCTCACTGTATACAAGCAAAAATAATTCTACTGCGTTCAGAAGCCAGAAAGGCCAGACCCTTGGGAGTCTCCATTGCTATGTATCAAACATGGTCCACGTGCAGTGCAGCGGGAAGTGTTCCTTGAAATCATCTTACCACCTTTAAAAACTAGCGAGGACTGCTTGTATTTGAACGTTTTCGCTCCAGTGTGGGAACTGCCTGAAGATCAAGTAAACATTTTAATCCTTTATATCCAAAAATTCATTTATCCAAAATTTTTCAGTAAAATTCCACTTCGTAAACACTTATAAAACCTGGACATTTTAAGCGTTGAAATGTAACTCTAGCCAAATGTGTTCAGAAGTAATTTAGCCGAATGGAAGAGCGGTAATGATGTTTATTCACGGAGGTGGATTCGCAATGCACACTTCAGCAAATTATGGTGATCTTAATATTTGCCAGTAAGCATATAATTTAGCAGTTTAGAAAAACTGCACAGCAGTTTTTTAAGCAGCATATTTCTTTACCTGTTAGTTTTCCTTTTGTTATCTTATAATGTCTCAAGTAAATGAGTGGAAAAATGCGCATTTATCGTATTAATTACATTTTTGTGTTTGCAGGTTTCTCTGCTTCAAAGAGGTGGTGGTGGTGACGATTCAGTATCGACTAGGTCTTTTAGGGTTTGGTACTACTGGTGACAAAAACTCAATATCTAACTTGGGTCTTTGGGATCAAACTTATGCTCTGGCTTGGATCAAAAATAACATTAGAAGTTTTAAAGGGGATCCAGATAACGTAACAATATTTGGACAGAGTGCAGGTGGTGCATCGGTGGATATGCTTTGTTTGTCTCCGTATTCCAACGGTACTCGTAAACTTTCGATTTTTCTCTAAATTTATACCAGAAAGGTTCTTGCTGTCCTAAGTGGCTATCTGTACAAAATAAATTATAAAAGGAACTTAGAAGGAACTTAGTTTTGGAAGGGTGTTTCTACAACGATGGTTTTGACGCATGTTATAAGTGAAGTAAAGTAGTTAAAACTTCATCAACAATAAATGAGCGAGGATAAAATTTAAAAAGTTTTGTTATTTTTAGTTATTTTTACTGGACAGAAATATTACTTTTGTGATTTATAGAACGGACGTTTACGCTCCTCTTCCATGCAATATTTTGATCACTTTCTCTCTTTCGGATTTTAATGCCGTTCAAAAACAATATGGCCTTTGCATGTTTAAAAATAAAAAGAAGAGTGAGATAAATGACGCTTTGTTTTTTAAATTCTTATTTCTATTCTGCTGATTATGAAAGGTAGAGAACTCAGGTTTTGCAGGTTTGTTTTCCAAAGCAATACTGATGTCAGGAAGCGCTAGTTGTCCTTGGACAATAAATTCAAAAAATGATGCGCGAGAACTGTTATTCGAACATGCATTAAAATGTGGATGGAAGAAACCAGAAAATGGTATAACTTTCACCAGATCACTATTGAAGATGCAAAAAGCAGTTGTTGTATCTCCCTTTACAAAATTTTCTTGTCCCAAACAAGCTCAAAACGACACGCCAAAACGTAATTTTCAGCCGATGATGAAACAGAGAACAAAGCGGTAATGGAATTTCTGCAGAAAGCACCGAGCAAAAAGCTTGGTGTTGCCATGGATGAACCAGCGACTGAAAGACATCCATACAAAATTGCTTTTGTTCCCGTAATTGATGGTGATTTCTTCCCGGAACCGGTTGACGAACTGAGGAAAAAAGCTCCCAAAAAACTGTGTATAGCTGGTAGCTGTGAATTTGAAGGACTTTTTTTTGGTAAAATTAAACGCAAATTTTTCTATTCTTAATGCTACACAAGAGCTCAATGAATGCTTTAATTAATTTTTCATGGTTGCAAATCTATTGAGCATTTTGAAGGTAATGCATATGAAGTTTGTTTGAGGAAGTCTTCTACAAACCTTAAGCAACTAATAAAGATGTTGAAAAAGGGAGTTGAAAGGAGTAGGTTTGAAATTGTCTAATGCCATCCGTGAAACCAAAAGTGTTTTTTAGCTGCGTTGGCAAGAGAATATTGGGTTAGAAAGAGAAATGCGATTATACCTTTCTTAGTACCAGACTGGAAGTATAAAAATGGTGAAGTGCTTAGGCAGGAGCTTTTATCCATGTATGCTCCTGAAAAGGAGAAAGGAATGACCAAGACGTCTTATGTGCAGGTAGATTATCGTGTAAATTTTTTGTTCCTAGGCAAAAAAACTGGAGAAGCACATTTGTGCGTCTACAATTCGGCAATTTCACATCAACGCTGGTGTCAAATGCATTTTTTGTCTTAATCATTTCACGGATACACATTGAAGTAAATGAACTTTTTTTAAAAAATTCGACTTTTTCCCGCTGAATTTTTTCAAAAAAGCTCTGATCAGAAATGATTTTAGAAACACTTCTAACCTTTAAACTGATTAAAAATTTGGATATAACGCTAGTTCTAATCCATGCTCGGTTTCTGTCATTCATAATAAATAACTGAACACAATACCTTCCTAAAATAAAAATAAAAAATAGAGGTTATTGTACGGATATTTCATGATTTTCAAAGCAGAAGTGTCTGCAATAGATGTGCTTTTGTAGCACTTTATTTTACTGCTACTGTTTGGGAAGATTAGTGTTCTGCTGCGGTTTACAAAACGGATTAACCACATCCACGTTTTTACACAGTTTTTTTTTGACAATGATTTATTGTATCAAAGAATATGTTGTCACTCAAAGTCTCCATTGCACTAGTTGCTAAAATTGCATGACCATTTTTTTTTTAACTTTCTAGTCATTTTTTCCCTCTCTTTATAATAACACTTAAAGACTTTTAAGGCGTGAAATTTTCATTGGAAAGCTTAGGAAACAATTTAAAGAAGCCAAAATGTATAGTTTTGAAAAAATAAATCACCTTTTTTTGAATTTAAAAACAATGTAGATTTTATAGAATGACTATGTTTAGAAAAAAAAAACTTAGGCTTTACAAGAAAAAAACTGCTATTTACTTTTAATGCTTTATTCTTGAAATTAACGTATCCAAACGTTGTCGGGTTCTCTAAACGTTTTTGCTCAAATTTCAGCTTCTAGGCGACGCTTTTATCAACGCTGGCATTCATAAATTTGTTCAAGATATGACATTAGCTGGGCACACAGTTTATCTGTACAGATTCATACATCATAATCCCAAAACTTTTGGATTAGTGCGACTGCTTTTGCCATTTCAAGGTATCAGTTACTTTTCCGTTTTTGTTTTTTCATTTTTATCGTTCTTTTCTATTATCACTGCTTTTCTCATAAGTGGCCTAAATGATGGAAATTTGTTTCAACATCATTGAGAATAAGATAAAAAAACAAGTAAAAACGAGAGGGAAGCGGTAAAAAAGTTGGATTTTGGATGAAACTGTAGTGAAAATAATTAATATTTTCTTTCAATAAGATGTAAATTTGATGTGATTAATGTGCTAAACATTTAATGAATTTTTCAGCTTCTACTCATGCGTCTGACCTTCCGTTCATATTTGGCAAGGGACCATATTGTAAATTTAAGATGACTAAGAATGATAAAGAAGTCACTGAAAATGTTCTTACGTTTTATACAAATTTTGCTAAATACGGGTTTGTTATTTGTGATATTGGAAGTTCCTTTAATATATTAAACAATAAAGAGACTTTTTTCGGCTGTCATCTTTCTGTGACTTGGAAAATAGCAAATAAAAGCAGGAAAAATAGTGTAAATACGAACTGGTTAAATGAGACATCGACCATCCTTGTTTGCTTTATTGGCTTATCACTACATAACAAGGTTTCTTTGGAGAAAATAATCAGTCTAGGTTGTCTCTTGTTGCTGAGAACAAAAAAAAAAAAACTATGTTACACGACTACAACAAAGTATTGAATTTTAATTTTTTGTTGTGCTATCATATTTATTTGTTAAGAGCAGGTCAACGCAAAGCCCTGAAAAATTTTAAAGATCAAATTTTAAAACAGTCAAGTGATTCTTCAGAAATCCAAATGGTACTGCCGGGGATCAGTTATGGGAACCCGTAACAGCTGAAAATACATTTCGGTATTTAAATGTAACGTCTTCTGGTGTCTCAATGAAAGATGACTACGAAGATCGAAGAACAGAAATATGGGACAAAGTTTATTCATCCTTACAGAATATGTAAATATTTAAATGACATTTCCATGTCAGTAAAGAGGAAATAAACTACAGCTTTTTTTTTTTTGTTTTAACTTTTACATCCTCTGCCGGATAATGTTGCGTTACAGCAGTTTAACTGAATGGGTACAGTTATTGTGGAAAAGCATTTTTCTTTGAACACATTAATTTGTATATCATAGATTTAACTGAGCAAACATCTGCCGTAGAGGTATTCGCAAGTCAGAAAGAAGAAGTGTAAACATAGTGAATAAAGGA